AGCACGAGAGTGGAGAATAATGCAAATGCAGATGAACATATAATTGAGACAAACACATATACAACTTAATAGTATTGGTTTGTTTGTTTGCAGTTAAGTACAAACTTACACAATGGGCTATCTGTGCTCTATCCTCCACTGGTATCGAAAACCGGTTACTAGCGGCATAAGTCCGCAGATATGCTGCTGTGCTACTGGGGGGAAATAGTATTGGTCTTTATTGCATACAAGCAAAAGTACCCGTCCCCAGTGACGGGAAAGTTTAAGTTAATCCAGCAAAAGTACCCGTCCCCAGTGACAGGAAAGTTTAAGTTAATCTCTCAAGTTAAACTATTTCATAGACTTTTAAAATGTTAATTGTGTTGCACTCTTGGTTTCAGTCAGAACCAAAGCTTTGAGCTACTTATACCGCCCACCGCGAAAAGTAATTGTTCAGCATTGCAGTCATGCTAAGAGCCGTCCAACAATAACATACGGTAAACCTACATTTTTATTCTTTAAGCTGCGTCACATTTTGAAATGCGAATGATAATGTAATTAATTCCTAACAATTCAGTGTAGAATATCCTGCTTGCGAAATAAAATTTGACATCAACACTATTCATGTGTGTCCTCCCGTCATTTCAAAAGTGAATGCTAAGTTATGCCTGCGTGCGCAGCTTTTCAAACGGGAGACTGACGAACGCTCGGACAGACACCACAGTTCGAACTATATATAAGACAGATTTCACTACTTCAAAAGTAAAATGTTGTACCTTCAATAGTCTTTCATGGAATTTTTTAAGAATCTGTGTATACAAGATTTCTAAAATTGACCTTAGTACTCTATCGAACATTCTTATCCTGTCATTTTCATTATTTATATATTACAAAATATTTCTTACTAATTTTTTTCCAGTTGTGTTTTCTTTGCTGTGAACTTTTCGATAGCATGATTTTAGGAACTGTTCGTGTTTCATGTATTATTCATTTCTTCTGCAGCAGATAACTACACTATGTTGAACGTTCCTTACTTAAAATTAAAATATTTTCTCTCATGTTTCAGATTTTTTCTTTATTCCAGATTCATTAATTGGGTTTCTATCCTAGTATTGCATTTCAATTTATGTAATTTCCAGTCAAATGCTGAGAGTTTTAACGCATCCCTCTGAACTAGATATACGACACCATACGTTACTTCAGCTGAAGAGGATATTGGCAAATCTTAGAGATTGTCTTTTCATTAATACTAGCACAACGTTTTGAACAATTTTAAGAAAAATAGCGACTTCTTCAGGTTCATTTTATTCATCATAATGCGAATAAATATCATAAACCCCAAATGCCCTATACCGTGACAATTGACATTTGCATATAGATTTTTAGAAAAGAAAAGCATGATAGCATGCTTAGTTATAGATTAGCTCCCTGTATATAGTTAACATAATCATACATAATTTAAACTATAAATTGACTTTACTTTAAAATTGAATAAAGTTTTCACAGTGTTAAAGGATTTCTCAGTTTCTGAATGAAATTCAAAAACAGCATGACAATTAGTTGTTTTTTAAGTCCGTTTGACAATAGCAACCATATGCTATGTTTCAGTTATTTTTACAAATTAACGAACTGTTTTAGATATCAACATGTAGGAAAGAAACATTGGAGCAAGCCAGATTGAGAATTTTATGAGCTAATTATTAAAACCTTAAAAAAGTGATTAAGTTCGGCATGGAAATTCTCATTAAACTATCAACTAGAATCACGGAGCTTTATACCTTTCCCATTTTACCCCTGAAGAAGAAAGGTCCACCTTTCGAAAGCACTCGGGTAATAGGGTTTTTATTCATTTCTATCAAGACTTCTTGAACCTACATGTTTTTATGACGTCAATAATGTTATACCCTAATATGCTAATTCTGATAATGCTTTAGGCAAGAAAGCTAAGTATAGTATACTATTGGAATAAATCGCTAAATCTCTTAAATGTTCTCTCAATTAAAGAAGACATTCTATTAATGCTAATCAACTGATCAGAAATAATAAAAAATACTTTTTTAAGGAAATAATTTTGATTAAATGAGAAGGACAAACGCGGACATGAGCAGCTATAATTTGTACTTAATCAAATTTAAAATAGTACCAGAGAATGAACACTGTACAAAAATTTTATAGTGACGGGTGTGGTTGACTGTTATAGTTTTATGGAAGAAAATGTCTAATTTAAAAAGTTTGTTTTCAGATACTCTCGCAATGAAACTCAAGAACCATCTACGCTAGCCGCTCCTCATTTTGAACTGAAAGGCAGCTAGGCAACAGCACACACACCGCCGATTCTTCGATTACTTTGTCTAACAGAATAGTGGAATTTAATCGTCAACGTTATAATGGATTTGCTGCACCAACGTGCTGAGAGAAATTTAATATTTTTTAATGCGATAAAGAGAAGCAAACATTGGACCCATAGGTTTTTAGTTCGCACGCTAAATTTATATCTGGATATAATACTGTACATGGAGTAAAACGAAAAGAAAATGTTATTTGAAAAATATATTTTTTTTGGAGGGGGGAATAAATTATCATTCTTCCTTGGATCATCAACATAATCATGTTTATACGTTAAATATTTTTTGTAAAACTAACAAAAAATTATTTTAAAATGATGGATAAAAAAGGTGCATAAAATTTGATTCATTTAATGAAAATTATTGTTCTTTGTTAAATACTCCACGACAATACTCAGTAGACTTCGTTAAGAATTTTATTTCTCCCGCTAATGCAAATTACGCCGTTCTAAATGTATTGGTATTTGGTAGTCTCAACTTGCACAGCACCTTGTGCGATACACGTGCTAAGCAGCAAGATCACATACCATAACAGTTCAGGTATAGCCGACTTTTCTTTTGAACTTACTGATCAGTATGAAAGCAGCCAGTCAGCAGCACCCTCCGGCAAAAGGGCTTTTTCCGGCTTTGAACCAAATAACGGAAGTTTGTTTTATAGCAAAGCCACATTGGGCTATCTGTTGCGTCCACTACGAAGAATCATACCTCGGATTTTAGCGTTGCATGTCCGTAGACTTACCGCTGCCCCACCGAGAGACAATAACAGATGTAATTATCACCCTTACAACGAACTCACGCTTGTAACAACTAGGCTAAGCCGAGCACAGCTTTCAATGTAGTGACAAGAAAGTTGTGTAATGAGGTATGAAATTCCATAAGCATACAATAGGTTACAAATCCCATGTCATGACCGCCCGAGATATTCAACATCTAGCATTGCCATCTCTTATCAGCCATGCTAGTCGATGATAGCTACTGTCACCCGAAATATTTATATAGCTTCAGGTGCGGAAAGAGCTTATTGTAGTTTTCAGATATATATATAAATAAATACTTGTATTCTAAGTTATTACATTTTCTTTCAACACGTGTTGGTTAACTTGTCAGGTAATAAAGAACTGCACCGACGGATTAGATGAAATAATAGAAGCTTAGATTTTTTTAAACAAGATGCTATGGGTTAAAGCGAAAAAACAAAGTCTAAAACAACAGGTATCAAAACTCTTAATGGCAAAATAGTGTTAAGTATGTCGTTTTAAACATTTATTAAAAAAAATGTATAAAATGTGATTTATTTAATGAAAATGAAATTTTTAGTTTGTATCATGGTCTCTGATTTTTGAAATGTACAAAGAGCCATTAAGCTATGGGTTAAATTGAAAACAAAAAGTCTAAAACAACAGTTATCAAAACTTTTAATGGCAAAATAGTGTTAAGTGTGTCGTTTTAAACATTTATAAAATGTTTATAAAATGGTGTGGTTAAATGACTTAAATCATTTTAATTATTAAGATAAGAGTTTGTATTCATGTGCAAATGTGAATTACTTGTGTAGGAAAGTACACGTGGACAGAAAATAATCTTGGAATCCGTTGAAATGTGCATAAGTATCGCATAAAACTCCACAGAATACTCGAATATTATGTTCAAGGTGCTTTTATACATGTATTAACAGCTCGTGGAATTAAATGAGCTTTATTTGTTCTGCTTCTCGTTTTGGGAATGTATGACTTACAATTGAGACTGCAATAAAAAAAAAACAGACTTGCAAGATAATTTAACAGTAAATTAAGCGTGGTGAAAAAACGAAATTAACTGTAACATTAAGTATAGTTTACGAATCATGTTTAATGATTAGGAAACATTAAAATGTTTAAAAAACAGCAGTTTTTAAAGTAATGTGTATAATGGGTTCGAAAAAATTTAACCTAATATTTTAAAAAATTACTAAAAACTGAAAAAAATGTCTACAATACGGTAAAAACAGCACTATTTACATTGCATTATACATTACATTACATTTACATTCTACTGTTATATTGTATTATTGATACTTTATTACGTGTCAAAACTGACTGAACGATGAATTATAGTTTAGATATGGACCACTGTGGGCTTCAACATTTCATTTTATCCACATTTAAAATCTATTATTTTATTCCACTAGGGAGGCTTCCAAATAAAGGTTAAATCGGACAGAAAATGCATCCACATTTAATGTGTTGGTCCTTCTATAGAAACTTTTCTTACTACGATACTGTCTTAGACCATTTCTACTGTGTAGTTTTACCAAAGTTTGTATCCTATGTGTGCGACATTATTTGTCCTTTTGGCCAAGTTGTGTAGGTGAAATTTAAATCACGCGAAAGCTTGGATGAATTCGATATATCTGTTGTGTTATCTTTTAAAATGCCCCTCTCTCTCACACTATATATATATATATATATCATGTTAATTTCATAAATGATAATTGTTTCCTTGTTAGTTTCACCTACACCAAATGTCATCATGAACTTATTTCCGCCATCTTGTATTTATCATAAATAAGCAGCAACGTGAAGACGGTCTCTGATTTTAAGTAAACTTGATGTGTATTACAATATATATTACAAGTACAGGAAAACGACTGGTATATAATAATAATGAAAATAAAAAATACACAAACTATGTACATACCTTATGAATAGGTGTTCCCCAAAAGTCATTCCAGAACAGATTGACAAAAGGCGTCTGGGGCCTCAAGTCTTGGTTGTCCCTTATAGCTGAAACGTCATCAAATACGAAACCACAATATATAGAGTTGAGGTAGCAGAGAGACGCTACCACCGCAACTCCTATATAACATACACTCCTCACTTGGTTTATAGTCACTCCCTAGAACCAAATAAAGCATTGTTTATAGCTCACGAAACCAAAGTGACCCTTTATCAATAATTACATTGTTGATTTTGTGAATTCTAATGTTGAGATAATATTCTCTGAACTTTCAGTATTTGAAGAAAATATTAATAAACATAGAGTTCCATATATCAAGCGAAACAACTCACAACTTTAAAATAAAATTTCAATACCTACAATATAATGAAAAAGTAAAAATATCACGAACTTCAAAATTTTAATAATAAGTACAATATAAACTATCTCTTTTTTTATATCCAGTCTTTCTTATATTTCCCAAAACTACACTTAACCAGAATTTCCGAGATTAAGTTGTGCCCAATCGACTAATCAAAAACTTCAAATTCACTTAATTACTGGGTGATAATTATTTAGCGTGGTATTAAACATTTTAATGCTATTATGCAGAGGTTGAATACGATATATTAAATGATTTTGTAACCTCACCACGATGTTATAGTCCTTGTCGTCCGGTCATACTCTATCTGATGATCGTGCATCTTGACAATAGCAATGTAGCAGTGTTTCCATTGCAAAAGGCTTCGTCGTAAGGTTGTCGTGATCAAAACATACCACCCCTGTCTGCATGTTTTCCATGATCCATCTAGTGTGCAAGGAAGTTTAGCGCTTTATTAACTAGTCTGATCACACAGAAATCCATAAGCACTGCATCCGGTGACTTTAACGCTGTATCTTCCTATGGAATATCATGAATAGCAGATTCATTCTCCAGCTTCTTGAAGTATAAAACGGTTGAAAGAATATGTCGTAGAAGTAACTTGTGTACATGTGACTTAAGTTGCTTTTCCAAACAGAGGTTTTTCTTGATTATGCTGCATACTCTGCCCGGGAGAAGTGTACAGCGTTTGACTCTGACCTTTGTGTTGATTGATTCCAACATGTTACAAGACGCTGCACTTTGCTCTACACAGCTGTGGTACGACTTCTTACAGATTTCTTTCTCAATGGCCCTGGTTTCCCAAGTTGATTCATATTTCTTTGTTTCGCAATGTCATTAAGTATAAGGGGTATCCTCGTTATTTAAAATCAAAATCCTCGATCTGAGCCCATCTTTAAGATATGAGTGTTTGGATATTTTTGGTCTGAAAGATTAATGCAAACGTAGTTCTAATACGTTCCGTTCCATCACAACTTTATGTCACGACTTGTTAATTTGCACATTTAAAATCGTTTTAATATAACATATTCAACCTTCTGTACACTACGTTCTCGAACATTCATAAATTTTTATTGTTTTGCATCTTGGGTTTTAAGAAAAGCTTTAAAAAAGTGTTATTCTCTATAATCTTGAATGATTCCAAAGGCCTAGCACAACCGTTTACTCATTTTTCACTATACTCCTATTATAGTACTATAGTTCTTATTGCGTCTAAAAGTCGTCCCTCAAATACTGCCATCTGCAAGCTACCCATATAGATAAGAACCCAACGTTAAAATCCACAGTTTGATTCCTCGTGGCGCGCAAAAAAAAAACTAACTTAAAATACCGTTCTTATTTTTAATGGTTATAATTCAAGGATTCATCAGTTGGGTACTCTCGCTGTCAGCAATATTTTTGGTTGTAGTCCAAGTAATATATCTCAAGGTTCGGCCAGCTTGGGTGATTTACATTAGTTCAAAATTCATAGACGGAGCTAACAGTGCAGAATAATTCTCATAGTAAAAAATATGCATAATAGAAAAAAAAATATGTTATGGGACAAATATAAATATTAAATAATTTAACCAATACTGTAAATGAAGTCAACATTAAAAAACAACTTACTACAAAACACACAAAAAACTCGTTGTTTACATTTTATACCATCACCAATTCCCTACATTTAGAAAAGCATGACACACGTTTGTTTGTTTTAGAGCAAAATCACATTAAACTAACTACAATGTCCACCACGGGAAATCGAACTTTGGATTTTAGCGTTCTCCCACAGGGGAACCATGACACCAGTCTAAGAAGAAAAAACTTGTACAATCCTCACTAATACACCTTAGAAGCAATAAACTGCTTTAATGGTGTAACTTTAACATCCGGTATAAATTACTACCATTCGTGTCGTACAGTCGAGTAGCGGGACGATGCAGACAGTAGAGCTAAAAAAATATCAATTAATGTTTGTGAAGATACAAAATTAATAACAAAATCGTGCTGTCAATAGTTAAAAAACGTGGTACTTTAAAGTAACTACGATAAATGTAATAAAAATAAATTTACTAAACATTCTCTGATCTGTGTCTAACCCAACTAATCTTAGTGAGTACCTCATATACGCGTTAAATTAATAGAACGATGTTTGTTTGAAGTTAAACACAAAGCTACACAATGAGCTAGCTGTGTTCTGCCCACCACTGGTATCAAAACCCAATTTCTAACGTTGTAAATCCGCAGACATACCACTGTGCCACTGGGGAACTAACCCTGTTAAGTGAATTGTACCTACATCTACTGAAATTAATTCACTCATCGTGAACCCTCGATAAGACATCAAGGAAGTTCCAGACCAGAAAGAAGACTAAATATTGTTTGTAAGTTTGTAGAACTTTTGTACATAGATCATTATTTGTAATAACGGTTATTGTAAATTGTGTTATTGTTTGTATATTAAAATACATTTGCATTAAAAAAACTGTGTATCAATCTTGTTGGCAAGTATCATAAAATGGATACATATCGACATTTATTTATTTTCTAAATCTAAATTACTATTTAACTCAATTTAGAAATTATAAGACGGGTAAGTTGTAATACGTAACATATCCAAATAAGTTTTGGTTTCTTTGCCAGTTTTGGAGTATATAGAATTTAGAGGTATGCAAGTCTAAACGATATAAAAGCCAAAGTCGCGAATTCAGAGTTCAGTAGTTGAATAATAATTAAAACTATGGTGATGATTATTTTCTTTTTAGGTTTAAACAAATAAAGATATAGACGAGTTCCTGGATATTTGTTTAGTGAAAGTATTATACTTTTGACTATCAGAGATAATGCTATATTCCCATTGTTCAGGCGAGTTTCTCTGGGTATAAGTTAACTTTCATTATAGATATGATAAGTATTTTGTTTTTGAGGTGTTCAAAGGATCTTAAAGTGTTCTGTTAGCCCATGTTTGTATCTCTCTCCGTTTCGCCTACATAAGAATGATTACATGATCTATACTCAATTTTGTAAATTACCCCTTTGTTTTGGCTTTGGACATTTTTCAATAATGTTCTATATTTTAATCGCGGTTTTTTTATAAAAAAAATAACTAATTGTAACGTTATATTCTTAATAGACGTTTCCTTAAATTGATAAGATTTTCACTGACTTATTTAACTAAAGGAATTATGCTTTTTAGTGTATTTATGTTGTGGCTACGTACCTGTTTCTACGTTTTTGTTTCATTAATTATTATTTTTAACTGTTCTTTCTGGGTGATCGTTCTTTGAGGCAAATATTTTAGATAAACGATGAACTGGAAAAAACAAAATGCAAGTTGTTTGGGGGGGGGATAAGAGAAAATATATTAAGGTTGTTTGAAAAAAAGTCCTGTAAAGTTCATATTTTTTATGTACAGGATATGCCGATTTCAATTTTGAGGTATTGTAGTAATTGAGTTTCTCAACTATAGAAGCACGTGTCAAATCCTGTCAGTTTTCTGATGATATAACATTAAAAGGTTGATTGGGAAGTTTTCTTCTTCTTTTTTTTATCGTGATATGAATATGAGGATGAAGATTGTTGATATAGTTTAGGGAGTATTTTTCATTTTCCGAGATGAAATCGCAAAACACGTCACTTACAAATCTTATCCAGTGCAGGGGAGTGGTGATTGAAAATACTCGTTTAAAGGTTGTTTTTTTTTCTCTCATGTCGAATCAAAAACATACTGGCTAACAAACTCGATAAAAGTTCCTCCCATACAAAGGCCGTCGATCTGGAAATAAACTGTGTTGTTAAACTGAGAGTAGAACTTTGTTACGTGTTCAAAAAGAATTCTTAATTTTTTTTAATGTGTTTATTCTTCCTTTAGGGTCTTGGATAGTTATTTCAATAATTAGTTTTATGCCTCTTTTCTAGGGATTTGACTATTATAGTTTTGTACATCAAAACTATCATATTTGTTTTGGGATCTAACCTTTTTGGGAATTGAAAGAAAAATCAAACAAACAAGAAGTATTCTTCATAGTATTTTCAGAGATTATTTATTGAGATGATCCAAATTATATAATTACTTAAGCTGTAATTGACAGCTGAATAAGTTGACAACGTGGACCGAATTTTAAGGGTGTTTTATGTGTTCTTGGTAAGACGTAAACTTATGTGTATTTTGTCTTTATAACATCGAACTACATTTTTAGCTTGTTTTTGTTTTCTTGTATTGGATTATTCATCAATTTTAGTTTTCTACGTAATTCTTCAAGGCAAATCTTTAAATCAGTGGCGGGTAATTTAGATGGGGGTTATACCGAAATTAAAGCGTTTACTAAGGCATGTGGTTTGAGGTTCATTAAGAGGTTCGTTAGACAAATTGATGATATGTGTTTGTTTGTAAGAGGAAGGCTCAGATGGGTGTTGTTTTTTAATATAGTTCGTTAGCCAATATATTCTTAATTGAACATTCATTTACAGTACACTGTGAGCCAGTGAGTCAGCGGCAAATTTACGGACTTACAACGCAAAATTCCTGGGTTCGATTTCCCGCGGTGAACAAGTAGATAGTCGAATATAGTTTTGTTCTAAAAGAAAACAATAAAAACACCAATACAGTCACCTACACTGAACAGTATATGTTTGGCTTTCGTTTTTCTTAACTCCGACAGTAAAAAAAAAGAATGTTTCCCATGCATATCAGTAATTTAAATCCCAACATTCATTTCACAATAGACAACAAATACATTTTCTCCACCAAGTTCTTAAATCGCTAAATATCCGACAGGGTTTGACAATTGAGAGTTTGTATGAAAGAAACACAAACACAACAGTACCTCCAACAGGAAATTCGAACACTCTGTACATAAAATTTAGAACTTTAAAGGGCCTTATTCAATTTGTTCTTAATCTTTGCTCCCTTCTCCCAAGAACTTAAATAATAATTTAATTATTTCTAAATTAATGAAATAAAAGTAGCCTGGACAATACGAAAAATAGCAGAAGTTTTGATGAAAAAAAAGTAAAAAAATAATAAAAAAATAAAAACAGATTCAGAAACTCCTCTATACCGTTTTCAAAATTTATTCCCCCCCCAAAAAATACAATCCTCATCATAGTTTTCATAATTGTTGAAGTAATTGAAAACCTAAAATAAAAAAGCCAACATATTGCCATCTATGAAAATTGTTTGTAACTTGAAACTTGCCAGTGTATTGCAATTTGAAACATCTAATCATTGTTCATTTCTAGTCGAGAATATTTCTATCAGTCTAAACGTTATTAATTAAATACTAAAACATATTCCTATTGAAGAGCTATTTTTTCTCTCCACTGAATTACTCAATGGAATTTCAATTTTATAATTAATTTGACTTCTTTTTGTCTTTTTTTAAAAAGCCTCAGTTTCAATCTGTCTAGCCTTCTCGGCTGAAATTCTAATAAATAT